GAACATGTGGTCATCAACTTGATAATACAATTTTCTATGAGAAAAAAGGAAACTTTTATGTCATTAGTGGCAGTTTCCAGTAGCTTCTTGTAATTACCTTGTTTAAAACACACAGAACACGACACACAGAATTAACATCCCACACTCGCAGCTGACAGAACTCCTGGAGGCCCTGATGGACCGCACAATGAAGATAGCTAACAGCTTTTGGTAAGAAGATCAGGGATATCATAAGGTCAGTTGTATAGCGTACCTTGCGGTGGCTGGGCTAAAGTATATATAGGTGAGACAGAACGAGCAAACAACGAATCGACCAACACCGCAGTGCCCTCCGACGACTTGACAAGAAGAGCGCCTTCGTTGTTCACGTCGACACCGACGGCCATCTCCCTAAGTGGTCCCAGGCCTCCATCACAAAACAAGGTCTGAACCAGTAAATACGAAAAGGCCTTCGGCATATCCGTGTTTTCCCTTTGTTGTTCTACTTGCAATTTGGGCGACATGAATTCCAGACGCACACACATGAAGCTTATATTTGGCTTCGTGTCTCTGAATACGGTGTACGCTCCTACCGATGTATATAAACATGATGTGAAGGAGAGGTTTTACACCAAACTTGCATCTGTGACATTCGTATTGTTCTGGGTGATTTCAATGCTGTATCTGGCTGCAATCGAGATGGCTATGAGATATCTGTCGGTCCTCATGGTTCAGGAGCTGATGCTGGCAGTGAGAATAGCCTTCTTTTCTGGGATATGCTAGGTCCCAGAAATTGGGGATTTCTGGCTCCTGGTATCAACATTTTGACCCGTATCATTGGACTTGGTACAGTGATACAGGTAATGTAGCCAAGGAGATCGACCACATCCTCCTTAGCACTCAATGGAGATTCCTCTAGAACGGGGTATATCGGAGTGCCGAGTTCTGTGGAACTGATCATAGGTTAGTTGTGGCTACTCTCCGGGTCCACTTTAGAACCCCCTGTCTCTCCAATGAACACTTTAGGGTGCTTCATGTCGACAAATTGAGGGAGGGTGAGTGTACCTGGTCGTTTCACAGCATTCGAGGGCTTGACGGACCCCGTTTTTCTGTGGGACACCTTCAAGCTTGAAATGCTCGATGCAGCCCAATAATCAGTTGGTGATTGCCCAAGAGCAAGACAGAATTTCATCTCGCAGGAGACACTGGAAGCAACAGATGCTTGACGTGCGGCTCGATTGTCAGGAGATCGCAACTTGCACCATTCCCTGGTACACAGGATTAGGTCACTGTTGAGAAGGGATAAGAAACAGTTTATCAAGAATCTTGCAGAGGAGGTCGAAAGCCATTTCCTAGTAATGGCCTTCGTCATGCCTACCAAGCCCTGAGAAAGCTGAACTCCAAGCCCTCCTCTCAGACGACTGCAGTCTGCTCAGAAAGTGGCCAGATAATCTCGGATTCTGATGGGGCTGAGTATTTTGAGCAGTTGTATCAGGCTGATCCATCAACAATTAGCTTGGATGCGGGTAATGTTGAGATTCCTTTGTCAGACCCACCCTTCAGCGTGGATTCACCCTCCCTGACTGAAGTCAGGGGGGTGATCTCCAAGCTGAACTGTTAAAGGCTGATGGAAATTCTATGGCAAGGGGCTTGCATGATGTCCTGTCTGCAATCTGGCAGACTGGTACCATCCCCCCTGACCTGCTGAGGGGTGTTGTCACCCTCTCTGGAAGGGGAAAGGGGATCGGTGGGACTGCAGTAATCACTGAGGTATTACACTACTCAGGTTACCAGGCAAGGTACACGTGTACATCCTACTGAGACATCAGAAACCACCTGTTGAGGCACCAGAGGCTGGAGCAATTTGGATTCCCTCCTGGTAAGTCCACAATAGGCCATGCCCTGGCACTTCGAGTCATTGT